TCAATTCAATACCAGAAAAGCAATTTATAACTAGGTATTTCCACAAAAGAACACAAGTTTTTGGGGTTTTTGTTGTTGCTGTTGTTGTCTTTTTTTTTTTTTTTTTTTTGAGATAGGATTTTTCTCTGTGTAGCCCTGGCTTTCCTGGAATTCTCACTATAGACAAGGCTGGCCTTGAACTCACAGAGACAGAGCCTCTGCCTCCCAAGTCCTGAGATTAAAGGCGTCACCACTGACCAGCATTGTGAAAGAACACTATGTTTGAGAAAACACACATGACAGGGCCTGGTAGCATATGACTTTGATCCCAGAACTCATAAGGGAAGGCAGAGGTAGGGAGATCTGAGTTCAAGCCCAAGCTGGTCTACAAAATGAGTTCCAGGGCAGCCAGGGCTACAAGAGGAAACCATGTCTGGAGAGACGGGGGACGGGGGATGTGGATTGAAATACTTCACTATAATTTAACAGTAAAAAATCTTCATGGCCAAAATTATGGCACAGAGCATGTTATCAAAACCAGGTTCCACTACCAAGGTCTGTGTGGATTCCAACGGCTAAAATATGCTCATATCCAAGGACTCTGCAGCTACGTGGGGGTGGGGAGGGGTGGTAGGGTGGGTAGAGGAAATCAGCTTGCTGCAGAGAAGTCTGCCCCCAGGTCTTGAATCTTCACAGACACTGAAGAGAGGTAGAGTTAGGCAGGCAGAACGACAGTCCTACCCACTGACAAGTCCTCAAACAACAGATCATAAAAGCTCTGGGCTCTGTCACCCCGGTAAAGAAGAAGTGGCGTGAGAGAGGGGTCTGTCACCTGCTGTAAGGTAGGAGTGGGGTGAGAGGATGTGACCGGGGACAGACCTAAATACCCTCTCTTCTTTCAATGACAGGTTCTCCCTCCTCATCCTGGATTCATCTTTCCGACTAGAAAATGCTTCGTGGTCATGTCTACCCACATCCAACCCTGCAAGCCCCGGCAGGCATCCTCCCTCTCCTGTAGGATGCCTCTGAAGGCTGCACACAGTGCCTGGGGCTGTCTGGACACTCACTTGACCCATGGGGCGTCGGTGGCTTCCTGAATCCTCTGCTTTGCTTTTCAAGCCTTATATTTTGCAGCTTCACTTCCTGGGGCATGCTGGGAGGGGTAAGGGGATGGGGGTGGGGGAGAGTGGGGGTAGGGGGGGAAGGTGGCACAAGTGTAGAGCACTTGCCTAGCATATTCAAGCCCTGAACCTTTCCACCAAGTCTCACACATGCTCACAGCTCTCCACCACCTTGTGATGAGCCCAAACCCTCTTTCCACTTTCAGTTTTGAGACAAGCTCTTAACTAAGATGCCGGACTGGCTCTGAACTCACTTTGAAGTTCAAGCAGGCCTTGAAACCGTAATCCACCTCTCTCAGTACCATGTAGCTGGGATCACAGGCCGGTTTCATCGGGTCCAGCCTCAATGAGTATTTATGCCACATGGTTAGACAATCTCTCCATTCCCCCATTTAGTCTTGGTAAGACAATGATAATGACAGACTCCACCACTTGGTCACAAGACAGAATTTTTTTTTTCAGGCATGGTCTCATGTAGCTCAGGCTGACCTCAAACTCACCATGTATAGATGGATAACCCTCAACTACTAACCTTCCTATACCCCTCAAGTGCTGGGATTACAGGCCCGTGCCAACAGGCCTGGCTAAACAATATTAATTTCCAAAGTCCTGTGTATGGATTTTTTTTTTCTAGAGCCTCACGCAGGCAGCCACTCTCAGACTTCTTTTCTTTTGAATCCTCTTTATTCAGTCATACAAACACCCTTTTGAACGTCTCCATCTGAACCGATGCTATGTGATAAATCAACACTAGAGGGGATGGGGGTGCTTCACTGATGTGCCTTTGTATATTTCTTCCCATCAGACTCAATGTTGTGCTTCCGTTTATACTTATGATGGTCATTATGTGCTCTTGTTATGAGCAGCCTCAAGTCCATGAGAATCAGCCCCTGCGTTTGTGCTACATGTATCCAAAAAACCCTCTTACTCATCTTGCAAGATAAACTGTTTTTGTTTTCTTTTGTTTTGTTTTAGTTTGCTTTGTTTATCTCCCATCCCTTCCTCAGACCAGAGTGGAAACTTCATAAGAACAGGTGAAGGGATGAAGATCTATGAAATGAACCTTCAAGAAGCCTTCCCAATCCATGGCTGTCCTCTGCCCAACAGGCTTTGGTCAGAACACAAACACTAGAGAGAAGCCTTCAGGACCCAGATCACTGGTCCGTGGCTCACTAGGGGTATGATTCTGAGCATGTAACCCAGTTTCTCTCTACCTTGGGAATGATATTCCAACTGTGCTCCTGATACAGAATACTTCACAGTTAGCCAAGTAGGTACCATGCCCACATCAGCTCTAATCCCGTCTAGGACAGTAACACCTGTGCCACTATCCCCAGCTATTTCCCAATAAGCCTGCTTACAGACTGCCTGTCATGGCACAAGGCATCCTGTTTTGATTGAAATTCAGGGAAATGACAGCCTAAAAGTGAAATTAAGACAGTTTTGGTTTTGGTTTTTGTGAGAGTGGAGTGCCCCCATTCAGGTGACTGTCCTCTACAAAGCAGCTCAGGGCCTCTCGTCTTTGACTTTACATCTCTGTTCAGTTGGGCTGTGCGGCCCAAGCGTGTGGTTGTGTCTGTAGAGGTGGCCGCTGGAAAAGCTCAATTTTACAAGACACAGTAACACATATCTTAACAGAGAGAAAAGACCCCACTACCCAGACAAATTTATGAAAAGGATCTTCATATTCCATCCTTAGGTGTGTGAGCCCTGGAGAAATCACTATCGGTATGGGATTTATTATTACCAAAGGTTCACCAACTCCCTGAACTCCTTATGTGTAGGAAATGTCAACACCACCCACTGAATTGTCTTTTGTTTTGCTTTGTTGCTTTCCCAAGTAAAGAATAAGGCTCAATGTAATATACTCTTTGGGGGGTGTGGGGGGGTGTGGGCATGAGGAATGAGTCAGAGCTTCAACCTGTAACCGAGGCTGCCCTGGAATTCACTAACTACTAAGACTGGCCTCCAACTCCTGGGCTTACAGGCATAGCCCCCACGTCCAGCCCAAGCATTTCTGAAGAAAAGAGGAATACTCACATGTCTGACTCAGGTCAAAGTAAGCAATCCTTAACACATGTGAATATTAAAAATTTTTCATAAAACAACAGACTCTTTGGCTACCTTTTTTTTTCCTCTTTACAGTACTGCCGTAAGTGCCCACAAACGTAGCTGACACTCTTGCCTCTGCTGCCCCAAAATACTGTTTTAGGGTGAAGAATTAACATGAGGCCTCTTACTTTTAACTAGTTAAGGGTCTTAGGAACATTAAATATATGTAACACTCCTAACACCTGAACACCTGCAAAACACACGGCAGAGAGAAAGAACAGGAAGGACCCTTTACAAGCAGAGACCACTCACGGATGTAGTAACTGAAAGACGGACACCTCCCCTCCACTACTTGTAAACCAATGGTATTCTCAAAGAAATGCCAGCGCAGCACACATGCCAACTCTACCTAGCCTTGGGAGTAATCGTCAGCAACACTGAAGTGTTGGAACAACTCTGAGCCTGCTACTGAACTGCACGAACGTGCTAGCATCAGTCATTCTGGCTCCCATTTCTGCAGTACGCCGCCATTCTAACTGTGGCAGAAGGGAAGGAAAATGTAGGGTGACTTTTTAAGGTTAATGATTCAGGCAACTCCTAGAAAAAAACTTCTACTTGAGAAGCTGTAACTATGAGGTCCCATCAAGAGCCTCTCCAGCTGTTGAAAACTGAGTTCTGGAATTTCCCCTCTCCATACCCATTCCTGACAATCCTTAAACTCAAGTATCACCGTTTAATGACCCCAGAGGAGGGCTTCTGGCCTCCAATTAATTCAGAACTCCGCCTAAATTCTCAATTGGCCTCCTGATAAATGTTTATGGAATTAACTAGAAACCTAGCCTCCAAAGGCCACAGCTGGCTCCCCTGCCCCGCCCCCTAGTCTTCCTTTATAAGAAGCTGAAGGACCCTGATCTGAAAGTCAAGCAATTCAGAACCCTACGAGACCTGATGCACATCAGAAGAGGCAATGACCGTCGTGAGGTCTAGGCAGTGGCTCAAAAATGGGGCACCCACTGCCCCGGGAAACGCTAGGCGCTTGCTGGGGTACAAACCGTCCCGCAAAGAGCGGAACCGGATGGTCGGAAACTAAGTCCGATCTGCAAGGATTCCCAAGGCCCCAACCCTCTTCCACCACCCTCCTTCCTGTTTATGGATCCACTCCCACAACTACTAAAGGGAAAGCAGACATCTCCGAAATATGTCAACACATGACACAACTTGAAGAAGCCGGCTGCTCTTTGGCGCGGGTTACAACTTGCCGGGCTCACACTGGCAAACAGGCTCACTTTAATTACTTTTCATTTACTACGCCACGCTTCCCCTCCAGGGCCCCCGCAAAGGCCGGGTTAGTGAGAACCGGGGAGCCCCGGTGGAGGGAACCAAAATGTGTGGGCGGAGAGGCAGACACCAGCCTCTGCTCGCACAGGCGCAGAATCAAGGCTGGCACCGCCTCTCTGGCTGCAGCAAGCCACGGTCGCGCGGCGCGGTGGCCGGGGCCGCGACACTACGCGGAGAGGATAGGGCTGGCCACCTTTGTCTGGCCTTCCCCACCCACCAGGACGCAGAATGCTTCCATATAGAGGTCCATGACCTGGTTCACGTTCCGGACTTGCTCCAGGTCGCCTGAGAGCCCCCACTTCCCGCGCGCCAGGCACCGCTCCTGGGCGCATCCCAGCGCTCCCGCACCACGATCGCAAGTCGCCGGGCCAAGCGGGCCACCGTGCCCGCTACAACCACCGCTCGCGTTGCAGAATCCGCTCCGGCCGAGCCAACCTAACAACACACTCGGGCCCGGCGGGAAGGCGCGACAGCCTGGCACACGCGTGGCTAGCCCCAGCCGTGTCTCACCTGCCTGAACCGTGTCCGAGAGATCATGTCCCGGGGTCGCAGTCCTGGGAAACTCCTTCAGCTTCCTGGCGCTCAGGTTCAAGCCCCCAGAGTTGGCCGCCTCCTCCAGCGCGCGCTCCAAACCACGGTTCAAGGGCAGGTTGAAGCCCGCGCCGCCCGTGCCTCCGTGGTGCTGGTGGTGCTGGTGGAGATGCGGGTGCAGGGCGGTTACCGAGAGGGCTGGCGCGAAAGCTTGGGGTTCGCTTCCCGACGTCGCCATCTTCTCCCGGTCCCCCGCCCCTCCGCTCCTGCGTGGGGTCACAGGTTTCCCCGGCGGCCCCGAGTCCCCGCAGCGCTCCCTGGAAAGCCGCGGGACTGCGGGAGGGGCGGCGGGCGGCGCAGAGTTGAAGGCAGCAGCTCGATCGTCAACGTTTCCAGCCGGGAAAGCCGAGGGCTGCGGCGGCGGCGGCGCGCCTGTGTCTGCTCGTGCCCGCGCCTCCGCCCGCTGCTCCTCCTCCGCAGCTTCTCAGCGCTCCACCCCCGAAGCTGGCTGGAACTGGATGCGCATTCTGGGTGACTTTCACTCCCGACCCGACCCCTTGGGGTTTACACATCTGCGGGCCAGGGTATTTTGTGGGTTTAGTTTTTGTCCGTTAGGTTTTTTTTTTTTAACCCGTTTATGAAAACCCAGGCAAGGCAGGAGACGAGATTTGGAATACAAGGTCACAAGGAGGAGAGTGGTTCTGGCTGATTGACCCAGAGTTCCCCCTAAAAGGCAGTGTTTCCACTGTGGGTTTACCGTCACTGACGCCCCCTGGCATTTAGGTGCTTACCACACAAATTCATTGAATCCAGGAAGTTTGTGAGTGGAAAAATTGCTTCCTTCAGTTGAGAGAGGAAGTTAAACTGAGCCGAGATCACCCCTGCAAACATGGTACGGAATTCGAACCCACATCCCACAGTCGCCAAAATTTTGCACCTTCACTGTAGACCACAGGGACCAGACTTAAGTGCAAATAGACAAGTCTAGAAGAAGGGCTTTGAGAAAGGGTGATTTTTCATGATAAAATACATTGTCAAGAGGGAGAAGACTGAGTCCCAAATTATTACTCCAAGAGCTAGACCGCCAAAGACCTAAGGATCCAAAAGGTTTGTCTTAAACCCAAGCTTAGGTGCTATGAATTTTTCAGTGTGCCCCTTCTTATCCATGTGGGGCATAGGAACTGAACTGATTGCAAACAAACGTTCTGCCACGGGGTGACCTACAGTGGGCGCCTGAGCCAGGGGCTTGCACACCATGGAAGAACCAAGGGATCTGTGTCACCTAAAGGCCACCCAGCTGGAAGACTGATAAAGTGCCACTCCCTTCCCACACCTTAACAGTCAACTCCTTGGGACCCAAAGCTTGATAGTCTCTATGGAGTGACTTGGCTTTGGGAAATGAGGCTGGAGTGATGTACGGACAGGTTACAACTTTATGATATACACAGTAATGCAGACCTGATAGTCTAGCCAGCCACGTGTACCTAGTGACTAAATGGCCTCAGTACTATGTATGACATGGTCTATGTCACTTGCATGGACTTCTTTGCTACAGGGCTACCCCTTAATTCCTGAGATTTCAGGCTGATAACAAATCCTACTTATCCCGGAAGAAACAGGTGCCACCTAGTGGTGTGCGGCCCTCACCCCCACCCTCCTCTCTGGCTCCACTCCCTTCAAGTCTTGCAAAGCTTTCATAAACTGTGCCTTAAGCTTAGGGTTTTGTTGTTGCTGTTGTTTTATTGTTTTGTTTTTGTTTTTGTTTTTGTTTCTCCCTGTTCTGTAGGCGGTCTCTTCGCTCCATTGCTTCCTTTGTGGTGTAGAAGCATTTGGATTTCATTCAATCTTGCTTTGTCAGTTCTTGCTATCATTTCCTGTGGGCTTAGGGCTCTTTTCAGAGAATCCTTCCCAATTCCTGTATCATGAGGGGTTTCTCCCGTCTTCCTTTGATAGTTTAAGGTTTTCGAGTCTTACATGAAGAGCTTTGATCCATTCTGAGTTGATTTTTGGGCAGGGTGAAAGACAGAGATCCAGGTTAATTCTTCTACATGTAGAATCTAGTTTTTCAGCTTGGTGTGCCAGAGACTCTCTTTTCTCCAGTGTGTGCTTTGGGTACCTGGTGAGGCAGCTGTAGGTGGAGCTGCACTGATTCATTCCTGCATCTTCTGCTCCTCTGAGTTACATAGTTTTGTGGCAATACCATGCTGTGTTTCTTCCTGCAGCGCTGTGATACTTAGAATCTTGTATTGTGATTCCTCCAGCCATTACCTTTTTGTTCAGGATTGCTTTGACTACCCAGCATCTTTTGAAGTTTAGGTTATCAATATCTAGAATGTTAAAAGAATGAATGAAAAATATTAAACACCCAAGAAACCAATCCAATCAACAAATGGGCAAATGAAATGAACAGACACTTCTCAAAAGATAAAGTACAAATAAAAAAAATTCAGAATATGTTCAAAGTTCTTAGTCAGGGGGAGCTGTAATCAAAACTGCAATGAGAAATCTCATCTCATGGCTAGCATTAAAACAGCATCAAATACTGATGAGAATGCAGGACAGGAGGAAGCCTTAGGCCTCTTTAGGGATAGTATCAACTAGTATAGCCACTGTGGAAATCAGTGTGAAGGTCTTCAAAAACTAAAATAAAAGTAGAACCACGTTCTGATGTTATAGATTGTCATGGAATACTGAAAGATGATAGAGACAGAATGCCAGGTGCAGAAAACAAAAAACAAACAAGCAAACAAACAAAACAGGACATCCGTATAAAGAGTTCTGATCCAGCTGTAGCCTTCCTGAGAATATACCCAGAGAAGCCTAAGTCAATGCACTACAAATATACCCATATCTGAAGCACTACGGGAAAATTATAGAATCAGCCTAGGCATCTGAATAAAGAATAGGCAGTATGTATACACAGCAGAGTTTTGTTCAGTCATAAGGAAGAAGGAAATTGTGTCATTTGCAAGGAAATCCATAGATCCAGAGATCAGCATACTGTGCAATATATGCCAGACGCAGGAAGACAAATACTGTAACACAGGGAATTGATGACCATGAAAGGGGGCTGTCTGGGAAGAGAAGGGGGACTATTTGATGGGACACCAGAGAAGATAATGAGAGCAGATATGATAAAAGAACACAGCTAACTTTAACAAAAATGTCATTATAAAAACCTACAACTTTATCCAATGAATATGCACTGCCTTACTTTGCTTTCTATTGCTGTGATAAACACCATGACAAAAAAGCAATTTAAGGAGAAAAGGCTTAACCTTAGAGCTCACTCATCATGAAAAGAGGTCAGAGGAGAGGCAGGAGCTGAAGTAGTCCTTGGAGGAATGCTTCTTACTGGCTTGCTCCTCATGACTTGTTCATCTTCCTCTTTTATACAAGTCAAGACCACTTGCCCACACAAGGGACTGACTACAGTGAGCTGGGCCTCCCACATCAATCATCAATGAAGAAAATGCTCCCACAGACTTACCTACAGGCCAATCTGATGGAGGCATTTTCTCAATCGAGATTCCCTCCTCCCAGATGTCCCTAGCCTGTGTGAAGTTGACAAAAAAACAAGCAAACACATAAACAAACAGCCTATACACTAATAAAAAGGTCTAAAGGGGCTTTGAAGTTACTTAAAATAAGTGAAAACATACTTACATCATATTAAAATTCACCTATCTTTCTATCTTTTTTCCCCTGTCCTCAGTGACCTTTTATCTAAAATCTAGAAGGGAGACAAAGACCATTCCCCACCAACCTCAGTGGATGACAAACCTAGTTTAGAACAAGAGATGAGTAGAATAAATCCACCACACAGGGCATAAATAACTTCTTTTAAATAAAAATAAATTTAAATTTAAAAATCCTTTCTTAAAGGAACAAAGACAATGACTGTATGCTTTGCTTTGAATAAATATCCAAGTCCTCTGATGCCCTGTCGTAGCCATTGTAGAGATTTCCTGATGTCCTGTCCTGGTCCTTGTAGTCTCTTGTATCTTGTGTAGATTTCTAGCCTGAAAACTCTAAGATTGGCACCAAATCCTCTTAGCCTCTCTCTCCTTCCCAGTATTCTCAGAATCTATAGTATTCTGCATTTAAAAGCTGTACAATGCATCATAACAAGTTGCTATTCACTGGTACATCTCTAAAGTTTTAAATGATTTTTCTGCACAAAGGAGGCTTTTTCTTCAAAGTGAGGGGAGTCTTTGACTCTTGAAACTAATCCTGAATATTTCTAAAAACTCAGGAAATATCACACGTCCTTTTGGATGGCTTCCATGTTGCTTCATTATTTCCTCAGAAGCATGAACATGTCTCTTTTGTTAGATGCCCTGTTTATTTCATTTCTCCTGAAAGCGGAGTCCTCTCCCCTCCCCTCCCCTCCCCTCCCCTCCCCTCCCCTCTCCTCTCCTTGTCCTTGCATATATAACAGTCCATTAGGACGGACTGTTTGTTTCATGTGGTCATTGCTGTGTAGCTGGTAAATACACTCACAGCCATGTGGGGCACCCAGAGGATCCTGAGTTCCCACCTAGGGTCTGATGTCCTAGGTTCTCGTCTTTGGTTTCTTTGGACTGTCTAGTAAACAGTGGGCCCTCCCAGCCTCCACAGTTGGCATCTCCCAGTCCTGTGGCCTCATTATTTAACTATCCACGAACTAAAAACACTCAGATAAAAAAAAGTCAACCACACATACACAGATTTTTTTTTCCTTGTCATCCTTCTTGAAACAATATACTATTGGGAACAATTACACATTGAATTAGGTATTACAGGGAATCTAGAGAGAATTTAAGGCTACAGGACTTCAGCATGTTCAGGACTTAGTATCCACAGGAAAGTCCTACATCCGATCCCCTGTAGAACCACTGTATTTATAACATATTGTATTCTGAAAATCACCAAGAATTCTCTTTGAGTAGAAACCCAAAATCCAGTCCATGTTCCATGGTCCCCTCTGCTCAAAGCTAACGGGACAAGAGGAAGCTGACACTAAGTCCAGTCATCCACAGCCAGTGAGTTCTCCCATCAATCTCCAGATGAAAATTCAATCAAAACCACATGGAGACCATGATCAAATCAGAACAGGCATTTGACTCCAAGGTCAGCAGAATCCAACCTTATTTACATTTATCTACCCCAGTGTTCTCTAACCACTCTGCCTTGGTCTCCTTATTCCAGGAAGAAGAAGAAGAAGAAGAAGAAGAAGAAGAAGAAGAAGAAGAAGAAGAAGAAGAAGAAGAAG